CAGCTCTACTATACACCTGGGAATTCTGATCATTCACATAAACTTATACGATCATTGTCTGCCAACCCTATATATGTTCTTGGATACACTCCCCATTTCATAGACATACCTAATCATTTAGCCTGTCCACGCATCTATCCATCCATATACCAATGTTTGCCTTCACTGAAAACACAGTACTGTATGTGCAAAAGGGTTCATCTTTGTTGTCTGTATTTCCCATGTCCTCTGTCTTCTTCTTCCTCAATGCCACTGTATTGATCACTCACATTTCATGTATTGCCCTTCCCTTCACCCAAATCAGTATCTGTCTACCTGTCTAGCAGTGGGAGCATAGTGCATAAGGGATGTGACTGTTAACCAGAAGGCTAGCAGTTCAAACCCACAGCCAAACCACTCCTTGGAAGAAAGATTGGGCAATTTACTTCATAGAGATACCACCTTGGAAACCCAAGGAGGGGTCGCTATGAGTCGAATCAACTTGACAGCTGTGAGTTTGGTTTGGTTTTGGTTATCTAGCAGTGTTCTCTCCCCTCCCCCCAACCCCTGGTAACCAATAAAGAAAGTTTCATTCCATATATATAAACCTTTCCTTGACTTTTCACAACAACTGACTAGTACAGTATCTGTCCTTCTGTGATGATTTCGCTCAGCATAATGTCCTCCAAGTTCATTCACATTATGTGGTGTTTCGCAGATTCTACGTTATTCTTTAGGGTTGCATAGTATTCCACTGTGTGTGTGTAAGTATTCCATAGTTTGGTTATCCGTTCTTCTGTTTATGGGCACCTAGGCTGTTTCCATCCTTTTGCTATTGTAAATAGTGCTGCGATGAACACACGTGTGCATGTATCTGTTCTTGTCCATGGTATTTTTACTTGCATCATATGCGTGTGAAAGCTGGACAATACATAAGGAAGACCGAAGAAGAGTTTATGCATTTGAATTATGGTGTTGGTGAAGAAGATTAACTATACCATGGGTTGCCAGAAGAATGAACAAACTGGTCTTGGAAGAAGTATAGCCAGAATGGTCCTTAGAAGCAAGGATGGTGTGGTAGTTAAATCTGTGTGTCAACTTGGCTGGGCCTGACTGAGTGGCTGGGCAGCTGGTGGTAGTTGTTCCCCATGATGAGACTGGCAATTATCTCCATGGTGGGATCTACCACAAGCAGCTGATCTACCACATCCTTTGGGATGTGGCCTGCTTCCTGTATATAAAGAGAAGCCTTGGGATAGTCTCTAGTTTATGGTACACTTGGACCCTGTATGGAGCTGTGTCATTTTTCAGCAGCCTGCCATGCTCTGCTGACCTTGGGACTTACAATGGACTTAAATTAATCGCCTGGTGTGTGGTTTGGTAACATTAGGACTGTGCCTTTTTACTTGTCAACCTTGGGCTTGTTAGCCTCAGCGGCCAGCAGCTGTCTGAGTGAAGAAACACCTCTAGCTTCAGTGGGCTGGGAGCAGGAGGCAGAGCTGGACACCAGGGTTGAGGGACTTTCACATAGCCCCTAGAACATGGCACTTTGAATAAACTCCTGTTTGTTCAAGCCATCCCATTTGTGGTATATTCCTGTCAGAGTGGCACTAGGTAACCAGAACAGATGGCAAGACTTCATCTCATGTGCTATGGACATATTTTTAGGAGGGACCAGTTCCTGGAGAAGGACAACATGCCTGGTAAAGGAGAGTAAGTAAAAAAGAAGACCCTCAACAGGATGGATTGACCACAGTGGCTGCAACAATTGGCTCAAACATTAACAAAGATTGTGAGGATGGTGCAGTGTTTCATTCACTTGTATGTAAGGTCATCATGACAGAATGACCTGACGGCCCCTGACAACGATGTGCATATAGAATAACTCTTAGAATAAATTTTATGCTCAAATTACAAAAACAAAAACAAACAAAAAAACCATATGACCCAGCAATTCCACACTAAGTATATACTCCTATCACTACAAATAGGTATTTGAACAAAAAATTATACATGAATGTTCATTGCAGCACTATTCACAATAGCCAAAGGATGGAAACAACCCAAATGCCCATCAACAGATAAAAAAAACGTGGTACATATATGCAATGGAATATTAATTCAGCCATGCAAAGGAGTGAAAAGTCCTGATACATAATACAGTACGAATAAACTTTGAAAACATTGTGCTGAGTGAAAGAAGCCAGACATAAAAAGGTTACACAGTGTATTATTCCAATTATATGAAATACCCAGAATAGGTAAATCCAGAGAGACAGAAAGAGATTAGTGATTGCCAGGGCCGGTGGGGGCAGTTGTGTTACACTAATCTCTTGTGATGTGGCAGCCACAGCAGACTTACCAGGAGAAGAGGGAAACACTAAACAATGACTCTTCCAAGTCTCTGCAGTGAAAACATAAGAGTGTCTGAGGGACTTTTCACACCACTGACCTCTGGCTGAGCTCCTGAAGCCCACATACCCAGCCCTGCTGCTAGTCAAGGCAGACAGCCTACCTTTCTAAGTGAGTGTTTCCATTTTTCTTTCCCTCACTACAGGTTACCACTGCTTCCATTTCTAAATACGTACTCTATTATATGGTTAAAAACAAGGGAAACAGTACATATTTTAACTACTCCCAAATACAACTGCAATCTCCTAGCCCTGTTTTTATTTCTGATGCATAAAATGCTTTAGACATGTTTTGTTTTTTCTCATTAAAGGTGCTTTGTCAAGACCACATTCCTTGTTTACCTCAAAAGGTACCTACATATGTAAATTATATCACAATATACTTATTAATTAAAAAAAAAAAAGTACCTACAATTCCTCTATTTTAATGTTTCTCGTTTAGGTGAGATATGGGTAAAGAACCTTCTAGAATGTCTACTGATGGTTAACCTGAGATGTAAGCACTATCTGGATAAAAAGTGTGAACAAAGATAGGCAGAAGTAAGCATGGTTCTTGATTGTAAGTGAAGAGCAGAGAGGCTGAGAACATGAGCTCAGGATCAGACAGCGTGAGCATGGACCCTGCCTCTATGTCATACAAACTTTGTGGCCTTGGGCCAGCTATTTAATCTCTCTGTGCCTCACAAGATTTTGGGAGGATTAAATGAGTGAAAATAATCAAAAGTGGTTAGAATCTGGTATACAGTTAATGTGCACCAGCCGTCATTGTATTAAAGATGGTACAGGAGAGAAGAATGTGGAGGAAGGGGAGACCCTTCACGAGATTACTGGAAAACCACAGTGCGAGGGTGGGGAGGGGAACCTTGGATACACTGGTAGCTATGAAAATAAGGAACACGAAACCAGGTCAAGACTCACAAAACTCAGTATCATACGAGATTTTAGACCTGAAAAACCACACAAATAATGACAGCATTAAAGCAGGGATCTTGGGTAAAGGTTTGGATTCACTGATAAAGTTGGGCTCTCCTGTTAATGTAATGTATGTGTTCAGTAGGTCCTTAGCAAGATCAAGTAAGAAATGAACTGGGGACAGATCTGGGAACCAAATCTATCCTATACTTCCAAAGGCAAACAACCAAAGCATCTCCATGTACACCAAATAAGTTCCCCTGCCGTTGTGGTCATTACTTTCATTTATATTCTAAAAACTTCTCCAACCACAATTGAAGGTATCACCTTCCTTCACTTCAAGTATGGAAGGGAAAGATGGCATGTTATTACACAGAATCTACCAGTAAATCTGCAGACATGTGAACTCAGATGTCCCAGTTCAGCAGCCAGAATCCCAGACTCCTCCCAGGCTGGCCTCTTTGTCCCCTGGACACTGACCTGGTCATCAGCAATGGCTTTAGCAAACCGAGCACAGTCCAGCTGTAAGTATATATCTGTTAGTTGGTCCAATAGCTTCTTTGGTTCAAAGCCATATTTCTCAGGGTTTTCAACTTTCAGGTCACGGCACTTGGGACCACAGAGTTGCTGAAGATTGAAGTTCAGCATTGCAGCCAATCGGGGTCCAAGTTCCTAGAAAATCATAGGATAATGAGACAATTCATGCTATTGAGTTAAGTGAGAAGGACCCAAAACTCTCACTTTAGTGAAGGAAGAGGAATTCACTGGATGGATCTTCAAAGAGTCCTTACATATGCTGTGTATCTTAAATTGGAGAAGAACATTCTATTCAAAATTTTCTTTTCTGCTCATTTCTAATCTGACAACTTTAATGCAAGATTGCAGACTGATAGAATATTTATAAATAGCAATAGCATCGTTAGGGAACCTTTTCCTTTAATTCATCTTTTAATTACAAAAACAAGTATCATTCCACAAAACAGGTAGAAGAGAAAATATTATTCCTGATTCCACCATCATAATATAAGTCACAAAAGTGTTTGTGTGTGCTCTCTTAGCCATGATTCAATGCATTATTTTTCATAAATTTCAAAAATCCCTAACAGTTCAGACAGTGTATATCATTTTTCTTTATGTATCAGATACAATGAGGGTAGAAATGCAAATAAAGCAGAAAACTTATTATCTTGAATCGTTTTAAATCTCACCAGTGAGACAAAGCAAACTTAAATGAAACAACTATAAAGGAATTATAGAACAATATGCAATAATCCCACAGAAATACACAATAGGTTCTGCAGTTGGGTATCTACTTCCTTAAGCAAACCTGAAATAGGAAAATCTGGCTTAGATGTATGTAATTGTTGAGAAGTTGTGAAATAAAGAAGTAATGAGAGTAGGATAAAGTTGGTCATTAGAGGGTTTTTGAAGTGGGAGTGTGTTATATAGCCAATAAAGTAGGCAAAAAGGGTGCAGCAAAGGGAAGGAGGAAAGGAGCAGAAAAATCAAAGCAGGCACAGGTTCAAGATCAAGGGCAGCCCATTACTAGGTATATACCCTAAAGAAGTGAGAGCCATAACAAGAACAGATATATGCACGCCGATGTTCATCGCAGCACTATTTACAATAGCCAAAACTTGGAAACAACCTAGATGTCCAACAACTGAGGAATGGATAACCAAACTTTGGTACATTCACACAATGGAATACTATGCAACGCTAAAGAATAATGTAGAATCGGCAAAACACCGCATAACGTGGATGAACTTGGAGGACATTATGCTGAGCGAAATAAGTCAGTCACAAAAGGACAAATATTGTATTAGTCCGTTATTGTGAAAGTTAAGGAAAGGTTTATATATTGGAGGACATTTTCTTTGTTGGTTACCAGGGGTGGGAGGGAAGGGGAGGGAATGCTGTTAGATAGATAGAGATAAATATTGATTTGGGTGAAGAGAAGGGCAATGTACCAAATGTGAATGACCAATATGGCAGCATTGAGGATGAGAAAGACAGAGAGAGTTACATGGGCAGTACAGAGAACAAATATGAACCCCTTTGCATATACAATACTGAGTTGTCAATGAAAGCAAACATGGGTATAGGGACAGATAGATGGGTGAACAAGCTAAACAATTATGTATGTCTAAATGGAGAGTGTATCCAAGATCATATACAGGGTTGGCAGACAATGGGCCTCTCGAAGAGTATGAAGGGATGGACACTGGGAGGAGGTAATTATGGGGAGGAAGTGGGAGGGGAGCTGCTGCATTGTAAATTTTGGTCAATGACATGAGACAAAGTATATGTGAACTGCTGTATGAAAAGTGAATTTACTCTGTAAATCTTCACCCAAATCCTAAAAAAAAAAAAAAAAAAAGATCAAGGGCAGAAGGTCAGAGGCAGTGAGTGTTGATGGCTTTTAGTTGTTGTTGTTGGGTGCCAACACCCCACAGGGCACTCTCAGCTGTCATTTTTATGGAAGTGGCCAGCCAGCTCTTTCTTCCATGGAGCTGCTGGATGGGACTGAACTGCCAACCTTTTGGTTCCTACCCGCTGTGCTGCCAGGGCCCCTTGTTGGTGGCTCACCAAAACAAAAACACCCAACTCACTGCCACTGAGTCGATTCTAACTCACAGCGACCCCTTTGGGTTTCTGAGGCAGTAAATCTCTATGGAAGTAGATTGCCCAGTCTTCCTTCCGTGGAATGGCTGGTGGGTTTGAACTGTCAGCCTTCTGGTTAGCAGTCAAATGCCTTAGGCACTACGCCACCAGAGTTCAGGGCTCAAAGAAACTTAATTTTAATTGACATGAAAATACTGGGCTTAGCTTTCAATAATTTGCTTTGAAAAATGAATAATTTATAACTAAAAATAAACTACTGATGATTTAATCTCAAACAATTCATTATAGTTTCCTATCTTCTAACAATCAAATGCCACTGGCACTGGAGTCACTGAACTTAAAATAAAACACTACCTGTGGGACAAATCTGGCTCAGTATCTGGTTTTGTAAATAAGGTTTATTGGAACACAGCTGCATTAATTCATTTTTCTATCCTCTACGGTTGTTTTTGTGCTACAACAGTAGACCTAAATAGTCACTGAGAACACATGGCCCACAAAGCCTAAACTATTTATTATCTGGTCTCTACAGAAAAAATTTAAAGCAATGTCATTCTGCAAACTGTTAGGGAAGCAAGTGCCTGAACTGTCTTGTTTAAATTAGCCGTGGTGTTCTTATACTTTCTATAGTGAGCTCTGTTTTGTTTCATGTCTCACTGTCTTGTGCTAAAATCTGTTTATGAAGAGTCACGAGATGGAGAAGGGAAAGAGAGTGGGAGGCTCATCTCTTGAGCTGTACACAGGCCAGAGTGTGGCAATAACGCTTCTCCTGGTGACAATAAAAAGAACTGCATGACAAGAGGTAAGAGTAAACACAGAAAACCAGAGGAATTACTATATAGTAAATGATACTCCGCTGTAAACTCTCTTCCATCCAGCCAAAGGACTCCTGGAGCCCTGGCTCCTTTCTTCTTTTCCTCACTGCCCATGGTCTGGCCTCGCCTCAAAGCAGAGATGGCCATTTCTGTTGCTCAGTCTCGAGTTCAGAAACAGGACCCGGGTCTTCTTAATCACGTTGAGGGCAAACCTCCTGACCACCTTTGATCTGCCATAAACCCCAGTCATGGCTCTCATGGACCTTTGCTTTCCTGAGTGTAACAAGCTACGTCTAAGAGAATCAGAGAAGACCTTACACATTAAATAGAAATAATTACACACTATGCAGAAATGCTTATATATAGATAAGATATAACTTATAATCAATATTTCTACTTAATGTACTCCAATTTCCAATTGATGCTACCGTATACTCTTTCTATAAATAAAATACATAAATCAATAATGAAAAAAAATACATCACAGCTTCAACATGAATAATCCAATGTACTGTTTAAGCAGCAAGTAAATTAAGTCATCTTGGAATGACTTTGCAGATTGGGTAGTGGGATTAGATGCAATCACTTCAGTCTAGAAACAAGAGTATCATATGTGTTAATTAGCATAACTGAGTACAAAATTTTACTTATCAATGACTGTGAATCTGAAATTGCCAGGATTTCAACAACTATATTAAATCATAAGTGATAGACTTTAAAGGTGGAATCCAACAGACAAAACAAACACCTCAAAGTTTCTACTCACTGGTCTGAGGAATGGCTTCTGGACCTGCTTGGTGAGGATATGGAACATGTCCACGGTTTCTGTTGCCAAGGCAAGATAAGAGCGTGAAACACGTTCGTCCTGAGCGAGCTGAGACTGACGGGCCTGCTGCTGATCCTAGGAAACATGGGAAAAATGCCCAACAAATCTTAGCACTACTCACCACCTTGCCGAAACACCAAGTGCAAAGGAAAAACACAGTCAGCTCATAACTGGACCAGTGCGTGATGAAGCCTACACACCCAGGGAATGACACCACAACCCACACCGGTGAGTTTTCCAGCTAACGGAAGCTTGCTCCTTTCTAGATCAGAACTCTACATTTAATTATGTCAGGTATGAACTTTCCTAAAAGGTATCATACATGTGATTGCTAGACTGGTACATGACAAAGAGTTGTGACACTAAAAAACTTGGCCTGAAGGGCCCTGAATAGTGCAGCTCTGGCACGTTAGTTAATTTCCATGAGCCCTGGTTTCCTCAATGATAAAAGACATCACCATAATGTCCATGCAGGATGAAAGAAGTGGTTCTCTCTTCGCACCTGATAAACATTGGTACTCAATTAACATTTGTTCACTTCCCTCAATAATAACTTTTACTCAGTCACCATTATTTTAAAAATATGTGATACACTGTACTGAAGCATACAGGTTTTGTCCCTACACCAAGGGCCTCCAGACGACGGAGCTTTTTGAATTCTGCCTTTCCATACTGTTAGGCTGTCACCTCTTACAACTGTCAGTACACTCGCCTCTGGCACTGTTATCCTCCTTCCATGCTGCCATGGGCTGGGGAACAAGATAATAAGGTGTATTTGATTCAGAGGTAAAATAAAGTAGAACCCTGAAGGCACTGAGATGGATAAAATATGGAACATCAGTAAAGACTTATATTCTTATATCAACTGGAGGCTTTTTTTGCATTTTATTGGGGGTGGGGGTGGGGAAGGAAACAGCTGGAATAGCTGAAGTTGCCAACTGGGGTGCCCTCGGGGTAAGTGCAGTGCTTCCATTTGCACTTGGTGGATATTCTGCAATGATACTGGGTGGCCTGAGCCTTGATGCTCCTTGGTCAAAAATGAACCTACTAATAAGACTGAACTGGGAAAGGCATAAAAACAGCAAGGCATGAACCATCTAACTGTCTGAATGTCTCACTCCATATATTATCTAGCACCTTTGACATGCCAGGCCTTCCTGTAGGCGCTGGTGATGGAGTCCAGAACATGGCTTCCTCTCCTCGTGGAGAGGACTCCAGCAGGGAGACAAGCAACACACAAACAGATGTGTAGTAAGTGTAATGGTAATGAATAAAATAAAGCAGAGGAAGAAAGGGTGATGTTGAGGTTAGGGGATACTATTCTGGAAACGGTAGTCAGGGAAGGCCATTTTGAGGAGGTATAATGGATTGAACTGTGTTCCACAAAAAGACATGTTGATATTCTAACTCCTAGTACCTATGAATGTGCTTTGTTTGGAAACAGGGTCTTTGAGGATGTTTCAGTTAACAAGAGGGTGGATCCTAATCCAGTATAAGTGGTATTCTCATAAAAGCAGAGAAGAGATAGACACAGACAGAAGGAAGAAGGAAGGGATTTGAGTGATCCCAAGGAACACCAAGGATTGCCAGCTGTCACCACAAAGTAGGAAAACAGCATTCAGAGTCTGCAGAAGGAATCAACACGGCTGATACCCAGATTGCTGACTCCTAGCCTCCAGAATTATTTAACAATAAATCTCTCTTCTTATAAACCACTCAATTTGTGGCACTTTGTTATGGCAGCCCTGGGACATTAATATAGGTGATATTTAAGTGACTAACTGAAGGAAACGAGTCAGCAAAAAACTAGGGGAAGAGAGTTCCAGGTACAGGGGATACAAGTGCAAAGGCACTTAGGTCTGTGGAAGATCAAGGAGGTCTGAGTGATTAGGGCAGAGTTAGTGAATTAGGGAGAGATAAAGATAGGGCTAGTGTTGGAGGGCAGATACCAAAGTGCCCTGTGGGCCACAGTCTGGACCTGAGCTCCCTCTCTGAGAAGGGAAGTCATGGAGTGTTCTGAGTGGACTGGTGATGATGAGTGGAGGGACATTCTAACAGCATTTCTCTGAGGAGGAAAGGATGGACACTGGGAGAACACACAGGGGCTGCTGCAATAATCCAGGTGAGAGAGAAGGGCAGCCAGGAGCTGGTAAGAAGTGGTTAGATAATGGACACATTTTAAGATAGATCCTGCGGTATAGTAGTTACTTAGTGTGGCTTTTTCAAGCCATAAGTCTTTGTAAACTCTGGTGGAATTTGCTGGAGCAACTGAGGAGCTCCTGATTGTAAAAGTTATCCACCTGGGGTATTTCTGTTGCGCGCAACACAAAGCAATGTTCTGGGAGGTTCCCACTCTCTCTCAGGTGCTTAGAGTTCTGATGCTATGATTGGCTAGTTTGGCCACTCTGCCAGGCTCAAAAGGAGCCCTCCTAGAGGCAGAAGAGGTCTCTCTGTCTGCTGGTTGAGGAAGACGTGCTGCTGAGACACGTGCTGCTGAGAAAGAGACGCAAGAGACACGCATTGCTGAATGAGACACTGAGGGACAAGCACTGTTGGGAGAGAGACTGTGAGAGACTGTTGGCAGAGAGACTGTGGGCTGGGAGAGAGACTGGGCGTTTTCCCTGAACTTGAATTGCAGCCTGGTGCTTCCCTAATAAACCCTGTAATCTGTGAGTTCTGTGTGGCCACTGTAGTGAATTATTGAACCCAGAAGAGAGGTGGTGAGTGCTGCAGGAGGAACGGTTGGTGTCAGGGTTGGTGTAAGGGCTGATGGGAGGTGGCATGTCTGGCCTCACAGGGATAGGCCTTGGGCTGCTGATGGTGATCCTGTCTTCCTCTTGTGGTGTTAGAGGAGGTTGGGAGATGTGGCCTCCTTGTCTTTTTTGCAGATCCTAAAGGCATTTGGTGGGGGAGGGGGGAGAGAGAAGGAGAGAGATGGACATAGATAGGTAGATAGATAGATAAGGATGATTCCAAAGTGGTGGGTCTGAGCAATTGGTAGGATGGAATTTCTAGTTACTGAGATAGGGCAAACTTGGAGAGAGGGTTTGAGGACATTGAAAGTTCAGTTTTTGACAAACTGAGTTTGAGATACCCATTACACTGGGTAAGAAGTGACTCAACAGCTGTTTATATGAGCCAGAAGTCTAAACTAGGGGGATGAATATGGGAATCTTGAGACTGTTGTTATATGCCGTCAAGTCCTCTCTGACGCATGGCGACCTTATGTATAACAGAATGAAACACTGCCCTTCCTGCACCAGCCTCACAATCCCTACTATACCTGAGCCTATCGCTGTAGCCACCATGTCAATCCATCTTGTTGACCTTCCCCTTTTTGTTGACCCTCAGTTTACCAAGCATGACATCCTTCTCCAGAGAACAGTCCCTTCTGACAACATGACCAAAGTAAGTAAAATGAAGTATGGCTATTCTCACTTCCAAGGAGCATTCCAGCTATACTTCATCTAGCATTCTTCACCAACATCACAACTCAAATGCATCAACTCTTCCTCGGTCTTCCTTATTCATTGTCCAGCTCTCATATGCATATGAGGTGACTGAAAATACCATGGCTTGGGTTAGGTGCATTTTAGTCTTCGAGGAGATATCTTTGCTCTTCAGCACTTGAAAGATGTCTTTTGCAGCAGATTTGCCCAATGCTGCACAATGTCTGATATCTTGACTGCTGCTTCTATTGGCGTTGGTTGCAGAACCAAGTAATATGAAGTCTTTGACAACTTCAATCTTTTTTCCATTTGTCATGATGCTGCTTACTTGTCCAGTTGTGAGGATTTTTGTTTTCTTTACATTGAGGTGTAATCTATACTGCAGACTGTAGTCTTTAATCTTTATCAGTAAGTGCTCCAAGTCATCCTCACTTTCAACAAGCAAGATTGTGTATCTGAGTATCTCAGGTTGTTAATGAGCTTTTCTCCAATCCTGATGCTGCATTCTTCTTCATATAGTCCAGCTTCTTGGATTATTTGCTCAGCATGCAGATTGAGTAAGTATGGTGAAAGGATACAATCTTTTTTTTTTTTTTTTTTTAATTAGGATTTGGGTGAAGATTTACAGAGTAAATTCACTTTTCATACAGCAGTTCACATATACTTTGTCTC